TGCAGTTGTTGCTGCTGCTGCTCAAGAGTATTGAATCTGCTGCTACTCCCGCCGCTTCGTGGTGTGGGGCCCGTGTCTATGCGAGTGTAAGAGAAGGCAGGGCTAGGTATTCTGGTTTGCTGCTGCAGTGCAGCAACAGCAGCAGCTGGCTGTTGCTGCTGCTGCTGCTGCTGCTGCTGCTGCTGCAAAGTCCTAGTTATAGAAGCGTCTCCTTTCTGCTGCTCCTCTGCCAGCTGTCTCTCCAGCTCAAGACGCTGCTGCCGCAGGCTGCGCTGCTCCTGCAGCAGCTGCTGCTCTCGCAGCTGCAAGAGTGTTGGCTGCTGCGGCTGCTGTCGCTGCTGCTGCTGCTGCATCTGCGGCTGCTGCTGCTGCTGCAGCGTTCTATATGCTGGACTAAGAGTTGAGGTGCTGTCTCTTCTTATCAGCTTCGGGCTGAAGCTGCTTTGCTGCTGCTGCTGCTGCTGCTGCTGCTGGTGCAGAGCAACGGGAGACAGCAGACGCGGGGTGGGACTGAGGGGCAACCTTCCTCCTGTGTTGAAGCGTACTGGCAGCATCGTTTGCTGCTGCTGCTGCTGCTGCTGCTGCTGCAGGCTTGCAGGGAGCGAGTTGCTGCGAAGGAATGACGAGCCGAATGAAGCAGTAGGTTTTGCTGCAGCAGCAACTGCTGCTCCATCTGCTGCAGCAGCAAGCGCTGCTCTTTCTGCTGCTAGTTGAGCTGTAGAGGCACCGGTCTCAGCAGCCATTGCTGCTGCTGCTGCTGCTGCTGCTACCCCTTGAGGCACCAGCTGCTGCTGCTGCAGCTGCTGCAGTCGTGCACATGCTGCTGTAGCGTTCTGCGCAGCAGCCGTTGCTCTGGCAGCAGCAACTGCTGCTCGCTCTGCTGCAGCCCTTGAAGGGGATATGGTAGGGGATAGGTCAGCGCTTTGCTGCTGCTGCTGCTGCTGCTGCTGTTGTTGTACTGTTTGCTGCTGCAGTGTCTGCTGCTGCTGCAGCTGCTGCAGCTGCTGCAGGTTGTCGGTCGTTGAAGCTGGAGTCTCCGCAGCAAACGTTATGAGGCTTCCAGAGTCGAGCGTAAGCAAGGGTTCAGCTGTCTCTATCTGCTGCCGCTGCTGCTGCTGCTGCTGCTGCTGCTGCTGCTGCTGCAGTGGCGGCAGCTGCTGCAGCGGCAGCAGCGGGGCTGTGCCTTGAGGTGTTGAGGGCTTATAAGACGTCAGTGGAGACGACCGGCTGGTCATCGGCGATGTAGCAAGAAAGGCGTCTTGGTGCTGCTGTTGCTGCTGCTGCTGCTGCTGCAGCAGTGGCTGCAGTAGTGGCTGTTGCTGCTGCTGCTGCTGCTGCAGCAGTGGCGGCAGTAGTGGCTGCTGCTGCTGCTGCTGCTGCTGCTGCAGTGAATTTGGGTATGTCAGCTGGCGAGACAGGAGAGGGGGATGTAGCTGCTGCTGCCCCAATGGGCTCGTGCCGTGAGGTGCCGCCTGCTGCTGCAACGAATGCAGCAGCTGCTGCTGTTGCTGCTGCTGCTGCAGCTGAGGTAGCTGCTGCTGTTGCGACTGCAGGTGCTGCTGCAGCACGGCACTGGTGAGAGTCTGAGAGCGCGCCACAGAAGCAGCAGATGCTGGTGACTGGGTACTCATCACAGACGGAGACATTAGGCTCTGCTGCTGCTGCTGCTGCTGCTGCTGCTGCTGCTGCTGCTGCAGTGCTTGTGGGGTGTCGAAGACATCCTGCAGCGGCCTCTGCCCCATCGGCTGTAGTGTTGGCAAGCTGAGGCTGCTGATGCCGTCAGGAGTTGCTGCAGCTGAGTGCTGCAGCAACTCCTGCTGCTGCTGCTGCAACATTTGCTGCTGCTGCTGCTGCAGTGGCTGCAGCGGCTGCAGCGGCTTTGGAGACAGAGCAGCAGGATCGAGAGGCGGCAGCTGCAGCGGCACAGCAGGCGGGGAGGAAGCAACAGAGGCAGCAGAATAGAGGCGCGCCGGTGTGCTGCTGCAGCAAGAAGCAGCAGAAGCAGCAGCAGGACTCCTCGCAGCAGATGCTGCTGCTAGGCTATCTGCCCTTGCAGCAACTTCAGCTGCGCTGCGGGCTCTTGCTGCTGCTGCTGCTGCCCTCATCGCTCCATCAGCAGCAGCAGCAGCATGTCGACGCATTGCAGACAAAGCGGGAGAGACA